TTTTGTTGTTTTAGGTTTGAACAGTTGTTTCCTGCCTTTCTCTTTCCTGTCTCTTTCTTACCACATCTAACCCTTCCTTCTGCTGTTGGCTTTGGATGACACCTGTCAGTCCTCAGCCACCACCCTGTCCCCACCAGTTCCCCTGGTCCCTGCTCAGAGTTCTGGGCATGCCAGTGCTTCCTACCTCCATTCACCTGCAGGTGGGCGTCTAGCTCAAGTGCTCACGCCCACTGCCCTGCGGGGTTGAGGATCCTGCTTGGCCTCAGATGAACTCCTCTGCGGTAGAGGTCGACCCTGCTGAGTGTCAGCATCGTGTGTGTTCGTCTGTCATCCAAGAGTCTGGGGAAGGCTGCTCAGAGGAGCCCTGTGTTGGCAGGACACTGAGCTGGGCTCAAGCCCCCTTCTCTGCCCTTCCCACCCACAAGGACTCCCAGCTCCGAGCCCCTCCTGGGTGGGTCCACAGATGCCTTCTGACTGGAAGGAGACTGAGGAAACCCTTTCTTCTAAGGTCAAGCCAAATTCAGTTTGGATAAGTAGCCCCTACCCTCCTCCCTCATTAATGTCTAAACTGTGACCTTGCTGTCCTTGAGGTGACATTGAGGAGCCTCAGGTGCTATTGAAAAGACATGGAGGACAGGTGATGCCTGTCGGGTTACTTCACACACGGCTGACATCTCCATGGCCCTGCTGGCAGGGACTGCATCTGTGGCTGGTCTTGGGGAGCAGCCTGGGGAGGAGGACCTCCTGTGGGTTTTCTTTGCTGGGTTAGGAGGCCCCTGCCCTGTCCTTCCTCAGTTGGCAGGACAGAGTCAAGTCCTCATCTCTTACACAATTCCACTTATAACCTTCAGCTTACCAAATGAGAAAATTGGGGTCCCTCAGGAGTTCAGCACAGGGATGTGTGGCACAGGGCGTGTGTGGCAGAGGGATCAGTCCCTCGAAGCTGAGACCATAACTCCTCCAGCCTTAATGATCTGACTTGAGCCTCATGTTGAAAGGTAAAATGTATAAAAGCTCTGGCAAAACGCAAGTGTCTTTCCGTTTATTTCTTCAATGTCTGTCAGTCATCTGGTTACCAGAAAATAGCCTTTAAGGACCCCTCTGAGAAGCCTTTGTTGGCCTTGGAGTGGGCATGCTGAGGCCTGGGCATGCTTGGTGGTTGGCTGGTTTCCTTTGCCCACAGCCGAGGTTCTGCTAAGAGGCTGTAAATGTGATTACTAGCTGTCAAGTGGTGTCATTTGGAAAGTGAGCTTGTGACGCTCGCTCGCTCGCTCGCTCGCAGAAGCCGACTGCCAGAGGTTCCCTTGAAGTCAGCCTTGGAAGCCCTCCTGATGATTTCCGGATCCTGTTGTCATCAAGGGGGTTTAATTCATGGCTGCTAGAATGGCCCAGGACAGAGTGGTGGAGGGTGGCCAAAGATCTACGAACCTGGGACCTGGAGAGGAAGGGGCCTAGGGGCTGTCAGCCCTCTGCGGTCCGTCCTGCCCTCTAGGTCAGCAGGTCCCTGCCTCCTGGCTGCTGTGTGGTTTGGGTGTAGCAGTGAGCTCCGCTACATGACATTTTTTTTTTTTATGTCAAAATGGTAATATGCTGTATGGCATAGAAAAATCAAGAAATGTTGGTCTAGTGGAGTCCAAGAGCTGTAGGAAAATAAAGCCAGATGCCACTCAGATATGGACAGCATGAAGATTTTCTTTCTTTTAGAGAAGGCAGGTCTGGCTTTGTGAAAGGGGATTTAGATTTCAGAGTGACAGGCTCTGGAGCCCGTGTCCTCTATGCAACGGGAGAGCCCATGTCTCCAGGGCAGCGGGGAGAGGCAGTTCTCTGCCACCAGGCTTTTCTGCCCAGATGGCCAGACCTGACCTGGACTCCTTGAGGATGGGGAAATTGGTGCTTGTTCCTGGGGGTAGTGCAGAAGGCTGTGGAGCACACTGGAGGAGGAGGCTCTTGGAAGATTTGGTGCTGTCTAAGGTGGCGCCAATGGATTCTTCTACTCTGCAGCCTGCATTCTACTACAGCAGACCACAAAACCTGGGGTGGATTCCAGACAAAGGCACAGATTGGGTAACACCCACAGTCAGCATTTGAACTTTTAAGGAATGCTATTTTTTTATTTACTTGTTTATTTTACTTTGGGCTCTGCAGATGCCTCAGATAACAAGCAACAGGTTAATTGTGGACCAGCTACTTTCCTATTAAAGCTCAGCTCCAAATTTGAAATTTGCCAGAGTCTTGGATAGTGAGGCGGGGTCCCAGCCAAGTTGGGAACTCGGGTTCTGGTCCCACCACTGCCCCCGGAAGTGCTCCCTCCCGCCAGCATGGAGCTTCAGTTTCTCAGCTCACAATCCCGTGGCCTTTATGTCCGCACACCTGCAGCTGTGAAGTTTGGGACTTTTGCTGAATCTTAGTGGTGGTGGTTCATTAGCATGCAGGGCACTGCAGCCATCTCTGGGTTGTCACTCACGTTTTTATCTCTCTTCATGGCAAAATCATTTAGCAGTAGTATTCTCTTGCAAGTTTATGAAATCTTTGAGGACAGAGACCCTGCCTTGTCATCGTGAAGCACTGCAGTAATAGTATATATTTAATGAATAAAAGAGCCAGCAGAGAAACAAATGAGTGAAAATCTGATAAGAATATCTCCTGTTCTTATCAAGGCATCATTTACTGTTTGTTGTTTAGTGTCAAGTTTGGTAATATTCATATATAGTTGTTTTGCTTTTTGTTGTTACCAAAGGAGAATGCTAATACGTACTTAGACCAAAGAAATTAACAGTAGCTCAGGCATGGCACAGGCAGTGTGACCCCCAGACCTTAGGTCTACCCTCACTAGTGAGCTGTGCAGTCTTGGGGGAATGTACCCTCTCTCTCTGAGCTTCTGCATCCCCCTAGCCCAGTGGCTCTAGAAATGTTCTGAGAGGTGCTTCCTGCTTGGCTACCACTCCAGAAGTTGGTGGTTCTTGGGTCTCATCAAAGGTCAGATGGATCTACCCTCAGGACCTCACCATTCATTGAAGACATGCCAGCACCACTTCCAGAGCCCCGGAGTTCAAGTGTAAGGTGCAGCAAGCCACAGCCCTGTGAAGGTGGAAATCATGTGGAAGCTAGAGGCCACTGATGGTGGTCAGATGCATTTCCAGGGTCCTCTAAGAAAATAAAAGGAATCATCTAGCATCTGATTTATTTCATCAAACTTGAAAATTTCACTGAGGCAAACATCCAGGTTTCTTAGACCTTCAGAAAAGACCTTACATGATTTATTCTTATGTCACTTCCAGTGTCATGAACACGGTAGATGTCACAAAATGTTACAAGGTTAAAGTGGGGGAAGGAGGGCAGTCCCCTACTGTGCCTGTGGTCCAGAGCCCCCAAGCAGTGCTTGGCCTCCCTGTCCCTATCTTACCTAGGGCCTTCCCAGCCTAGGGCAGACCAGGTAGGCCTCCTGGCTGGATTAGCATTCATTGTGTTTTTCTTCTGGGACTTTTAAACACAAACTCTGACACAGTACATCTGTGAACACAGAGAACTGACCTGTTGATCAGCTACGTAAGAATACTGTGCCTTGTCAAGTGATTCAAGACCATTAGCAGTTGGAGCCAAGGGGGAGAATTTGATGGAAGGGAAATTCAACTTTAAATATCCATGGTGACTCAGAATGCCTGGCCCTAGTGTCCTTCCCAGATTGGTGCTCCCCAGAGTGCTCAAGATTTTGATGCTGTTTTCTTCACCTCCATGTTAACATGGAAGATCCGAGAGGACTAGTAAGCGGGTAAGCCAGGTTTGCCCTCCTGCATGCCCACAGCTTTCTCTTGCCTGTTGGCATGGATAGCAAGTATTTGGCTGTAAGGAACCTTCCCCCACACATTGGGATTTAAAATGCCCCTAAAAATTACTTAGGAGACAAACTGTGGTACTCCTCCCAGAGGCCAGTGGCCCAGTACCCAGGGGAGCTGCTGTCTTCTCTTTGTTCTTGTCTTCCTGGGAGCCTACCTGTACCAGGGTCACAAGTACCAAAGATACTTCTAAAGAAGTTTGAGGGCTGGGGTTCAGTGGTAGAGCCCAGCACTCATGGAGCACTGGGTTCGATCCTCAGCACCACATAAAAATAAAATAGGGGTATTGTGTCCACTTACAGCTAAAAAAAATACATATTTTAAAACAAGTCGTTTGAGTTGCATCTTTTTCAGAGCTGCGTGGTTGGTTATGAGAGATGCCTCCGACAAACCGGCAGCAGGTGGGAGATCAACCTTATTTTGGTTTTGCAGACCAGGCCCTAGAGCACGGGTAGATTTAGTTAGGGTTCACGCCTGCGTGCAGGCTGCTGCCCTAGAGGATCCGGTCTGCACAGCCTTGATCCACCCCGGCGCTTGGCCCTGGCCGCCCGCCGCGCTCGCCGCCGCCGCCGCGCTCCCGGGACTCTGCCGGCCGGGCTGAGCGCGCGGCCCGCGGTCTCTGCACGTCGGCCCCCGCCCGTCCGCCCCGCCCCGGCGCGCATTTCCATTTTAAACCGCCGCCAGCCCGCCCGCCCCTCGACCGCGGCCAGCGCAGCTGCCCGCGTCCGGAGCCCAGCGAGTGGCGGAGGCTGCGGAGTCCCCGAACTGTGCACGAAAGGCCCGGAGATGCGCACGGGTCCCGCGCTGTAGACAATGAAGCCGCGGGCGCCGCCGCCCGCCCTGGGCCCTGCGCGCCGCGACCGCACCTGCTGGCGAGACCATCCCTGCGCCTGACCGCCCGCCGCTCCGCCCCATCCGGCCCCCGGCGGCCCATGGCTCGGCGACCCGGACCCGGACCCTAGCACTTGGGCCGCGCGGCGCACGGGCTAACGGGCACCAGGGGCGCCGTCCCCGCGGCCTGAGCGCGGCCCTCGCTGCGAGTGGGGGGCGTGGGCCCCAGTCTCGTCTGGCCACTCTCCCCGCCTTAGTCGGCGACTGCCTCGACTGCGCGTCCAGCCGGGCGGACGCGCTGGATGCGGCGGGGTTCAGGCGGGTGGCGCGGCGGCAGCGGCCCCGGGAGACATGTACCTGCTGGACGGCAGCGGCGAGCACGCGTCGCCGCCCGCGGACGCGATGCCGCGCGGGACGCCCCCCAGGAAGACTGTCTACCGCATCTCGGTGACCATGGTCAGAAAGGAGCAGCTCCCGGAGCCGGGCTCCGGTGGCCCCGGCCCGCGTCTGGCACCGCGACCCCGGCCCGCGCGTTCCCCGGACGCACCCGGGCGGCTCGTGGAAGAGGCCGAGGAGGCTGCGGGCACTGAGGACCTGGAGGGGCTCCAGTCGCGCGCCTGGGACTTCCGTACCTTCCGCACCCGCAGCACTGGGCAGCTGGAGCTCGGGAGGCTCCGGCCATGCTCAAGCGGCCCCGAGTCTGCGGCCCTGGCGGGCAGTCCCCAGGCCGTGGAGGGGTCCGGCTCTCCAGAGCCCTGCAGCCCCGATATGGAGGGGCCCCGGGCCGCGCCCCTGCGGCGTAGTCTCAGCTTCAGGGACTGGAGCGGGTCTGAGGCACCTCGGAGCCCGGCCCTGAGCAGCGGGAGGCGCCACAGCAGCTCCGGAAGCCTCGCATGGCCGCTGGGCGACGAGGCCGAGGCTGGCCTTGAGGCCGCCCTGGAACCCGCCGCCGCTGCACAGCCAGCCTCGGAGAAACGCAATACCCTGGATGTTGGCGAGGTGCTCAGCAAGAACGATGCGCTCTCCGACCTGGAGCGCTGGGAGCGCAGTAAGAGCAAGAACCGCACGCTGGACAACAGCGACCTGCAGCGGCTGGAGCGCGCGCGGGCCGCGGCTGCGGGGCCCGGAGCAGCCTCTGAGCACCGACTACTGCGTTTCTTCAGTGGCATCTTCGCGCGTCGAGACGGCGGCCCTGGCAGCGGGCCCTCCCCTCGAAGCGGTGCCTCGCGATCGCGTGGCTACTTCAGCAGCCTGCGGCGAGCCCCAGCGGATGCACACTCTTCCAGTGCAGAGAGCATCGATGGCTCCCCGCGTAGAGGTGGGCAGCCTGGCCGGTGGGCTCCAGGGAAGTGGGGAGTGGCGGTGAGCAGCTTAGGGATCTGCTGGCTCAGGTCACAGACCAGTGAGCGCCTGTACCCTGTATGAACTCTGTGCTGTTTCCCCAAGGGTACTGAGGCAGTCTGGTTGTTGCTGACTGCCCCTGCTCCTGGCTTTGTGTAGTAGCTCTTTTGAGGTCTATCACTTCAGCCATGGTGAACTTGACCGGGGAAAGCTCACCTGGGCTGCCTCTCCTGCAGGTGCTGGCTCAGCCATTAGCAGGCTCCCGAACACCATGCAGACTGTGCTGCTTGAGGGGCTGCTTGAGGGAACCAGACTTGGCCTTGGTAACTGCCCAGGTGCAACTGCCTGGCCAAGGGAAGCCAGCCTTCCTCTTGGTGTATTCCACACTGCTCCCTCCCAAGGGCAGTCTGCCTGTTGGTTCTGCCGCCAGTGACTGCTGGGGTGTGGCCTTGGCTGATTTGCCTGCCTCCACTAGCAGAACTCTTGATAAAGACAGAGCTGGGTGGGAGGTGGAGAGAAGGGATTTAAAATGCCCCTCTCCACAGCTTTTCTGCCAAGTGTGTTCTCAAGGGAAAGCAAGTCTGGAGCAGAATTCTTTTTTCTAGTAATGTGTGCGAGGCAACCAGCAGGAAAGCCGCAGCTCTACAGTCCATGCTGAACCCTAACCCCCTGCTCTCTCACCTGCGGGGAGGGGTTGGAGGCAGACAGGAGAATATTCTCCTGCAGGAATTAGTTAATCTGCTAGCGTTATAGTGACCAGAAGCCTGCAGAAATTGCACAACACTGACCCAATCTCAGCATCCTCTGAAGGGCAAAGGCTGGGTACAGTGTGGGGTTAGATTGTTGTCCTAGGGTGCGAGATAAAGTATACCTGTAACCACAGGTGTGTTGCCATGCATCTTGCTACCAGGAAATCCTTAATCATTCCTGCACCCTGATTACCAAGCTCTGCTGCCAGCCCAGGTGAAGGTGGTCAAAGCCATGAAGGGTGGCTGTTGGTTAGCTGATTTCAGCTGCTGCCTAGCCAGCCCTGGAGAGAGTTGCTCCTGAGTGTGCAGGTATACAGGTTAGCTCCAAGATGCAAGGTAAGTGAACCATAGCACAGGAGTCACTAGCCTAGCGGAAGCGTTGAAAGGTAAACTGAAGGCAAAATGGCCGTGTTTTAAAATGCTGCCGATGGTCCTCAAGTGTAGAGATGTTCAAAACCAGGTGGATAAATGTGTAGTTGTGTTTATATCCCCGGGTTTATTTTATGAGCAAGGAAACGACAGGAAGTTACCTGTTGCCAGGCTTGGCTGTTTGGTTTGTTGTGTTTCTTGTTTTAACGTGCCTTGGGACACAGTGTTTGACTCTGACTATTAGTCCATTTCACCCTGAATGCTCTTAAAATGTTAGAGAAAGGCATGGTTGTGAAAGGCTTGGTTTGCTTGGAGTTGATATTGCCATCATTTGTGTTCAGAGGAGGTTCAAATCTGAAGGTCCTGTTTCTCCCTCTAATACCAGGTTTGTGTCTTTGTTCTTGTGGACTTCGTAGAAAATAGTAATTAGCTGCTTGGGTTCCAGAGAAGTACCCATCTCTGTGTGTGAGAGGGAGAGAAAGCGATGCACAGCCATGATTCTAGAAGGAACAAGCTTCATCATGGTACCTGTTGATACAAGTTAAAAGCATTTGAGGTTTTGGTGTTGCCTTTTCTGGAACAAATGGGTTGATAGTAGATTTGCAGTAGTAAAGGTGTGAAGTGTATTGGAATTTGTTGCCTAGGGCAGTATAACTTAACAGTAGTAATAATTACAGTAATGCTCAGTTGCTCCCTTATGCTCAGTCTTTTTCTGGATGGAATCATGTTGGTCTGGAGGTCTAACAACACTACTAGCATTGTGGGTTTTGCAGAAAAACTGAATTTTTAAATGAGCTAGGTGACAGTGCACACATTAATTCTAGGGCCTTGCTTCTAACTTCAGAAGTTCTAGGCAGTTTTTTTAAAGCTGCAGCTGGGTAAAATCTTTGCTTTGGGTGACCACATCTGAAGCCTTAGTAGCCCAAGGTTTTGGTGCGGCTGCCACTACTGTGCCTGCTACAGGTGAACTTTGTAGAACCTGTAGCTTTCAGGGTTTCTTGTTTTATTAGACTTCTTCAGTTTTTATGTGTTCTTTTCCTGTGACATAAATTATTCACGATTTAGGTGTTGTTTAATGAAGTTTGGAATTTAGGAGAAAGTTCCACCCTGAGTTCATGTCCAGATGCTGTGGAGCCCATACTCAGTTTCCTTGTACACATTGCTGAGGGCAGGTTTACAGAGCCCTGACCAAACCCTCCAGCCAAGTGGGTTTGCAGAACTCAGCAATTTGGGCTGTTAGGAAGGTGAAGTGGTGCATGTTGTAGAACACCACTTGTGAGGTGGGACAGCTCCCTCAAGTCACACACTGTCATTTTGTAGCAAAGCCCGAGACTGATCACACTCAGTGGAATAAACAGTGATTAAAAATAGCCTCATGTCAGCTCAAGTCTGCTTTGCCACACAGACTTTGCCAAGTATTTATGAACAAAAGTTCCATTCTTGGGCGTTTTTGGTTTCAGAATTACATCTACTGATGACCTGAAACATGATAGGCATCTTGAGGTGCATGTCTTTAAATCTTGACCATAATGTTAAAATTTGGGGTTCACAAAAACCTAAAGAAAATTAGAGGTGTCGTCACCTAGTGTTAGAATCTTTCTTTAAGGGAAAAAAAAAGCTGTACAATTTTTGCATTGGTCAGAAGAAAATTAATTTTATAAGACTGCAATTATTACATTAAGTGGCTTATTTGGTTTCTTAAAAGTAAACGCTGTCAGTCTTGGATAAGGTGTTCCTACTAGTATAGCAAAGCAAGGTGGTTAGTCTTGTTTTACAACATGCGCGGATTCTCGTGTATGCCACCTTTGGTTTTCCCTTAACTGAGGGCATTTAGGAGGACAGGATTGAAACGTCTGCTCTTGTACGAGGGTTCCTGTGTGCTTTCTGACCCTGCTGGGGCTCCTCTGTGAGGCCACCGCTGTTCTTCCCCAGACATGGAACATTGGCTCCTAGAGAGGCTCCTTTGCAAGGCTCACAGCGACTGGCACACCAGCAGGCATTTCAGGGCTCGGTATCACACCCAGGACAGTGTTGTTACCTGATGCACATGTACTAGGGCAGAGTCTATTGGCACAGTATGATTTAATACAGGGAACAACCAAGCAGTAAGTGATTAATGACATTGTAGGCTGCCACTCCAGCCCATCTTCTTTGCATCTCAAAAGAAGCTGTTTGAGCTGGCCTGCCAACACTCCCTGGAACCAGCTGCCCGCCCAGAGTAGCCTTTAGGGTGTTCTTTTGCTATCTGGGAGGATTGATTACAGCAATAAAGTGATTTCATTCAAAGCTGTGGCTAAGGTTAGCTTTTTAAATTAGTAATTTACAACTGACTTTTGACACCTTATTTTATCAGTGGCTTCATTAATTTCTGATCCCCTTGATTTGTGTCACTCAGGAACTGTAAGGTGAGAGACTTAAAACAAACTCTTTAATGGAGAAAAGAAGGAAGCAACAATTAAATGTCATAAAATCACGATATAGCTTGAAACATTGTTTTAAACCTGATCCCATGTGTTTGGGGTGAAACTATGTAACTCAGAACTTTTTCATTTGAAACATTTTGAACTGATTATACACTCAGTCTTTATTATTAAAGCTGAGTATTCCTAGATAGAGTTCACTTGCTTTTGATAAATGCCTCCAGACGGCCGTGTCAGATCTATTGTGTGTGATAAGTCTGGGATTGCCCCTCTGGAGATGGAGCAGCTGACATGGGGTGCAGGGAAGAGCACCTTGAAGGTCCTCAAGGACCCCCATCCTTTTTAAATATATAATTTTAGTTGTCAATGGACTTTTATTTTATTTATTTATATGTGGTGCTGAGAATTGAACCCATTGCTCACACATGCTAGACAAGTGCTCTGCCACTGAGCCACAACCCCAGCCCCCTCAGCCCCTTTGGGCAACTACTTGGTGCTCAGACTATGTTTATTCCAGCTAGAGCCAAGTTTCAGACATCCTGGGCTGGTGTATCCTACTACCAAAGGAATTTTCAGAAAGTGCATCTGCTGTAGAGATTCTGCTTTTAACACAGGTCCTCGCAGCAAACTGCTGGGTCATATGTTTGACAAACACCCTTTGTTAGGAAGCGCTGGCTGTGGTGTTTTAAGTCATCCCTGTCTCTGTATTGACAGGCACTTGCTGAGCTTTCCTTGTGTATGGTGTGTTCTTTAGGCGGCAGGCACTAGAGTCGACTACAGCACAGTTCCTGTTGCCGGAGGTCAGTGGCCTACTGGGGGAGATGGAGGAGTTCCCACGAATCCCAACCCCACGGGGTGCTGCAGGGAAGCCGGGGCTGTTTCTCTGCACAGCATCTCTGTATCAGAGCCCGCTTCCAGACTTCCTTTCCGTGCCAGTTGAGTAGAGGACCCTGCAGGGCATGGAGCGTATGTCCTTGAGGACTGCAGAGTTGGGAGCACGTTGGTGGGAGGGATTGAAGAGAGAAGATGGGTCGTGTGTCCTTGAGTTAGTGCAGGCCCCAGACAGGTAAGGTGAGCTAGACCTTGCAGGATCAGTGCCAGCTTACCGGGTAGAGAGGACTCTCCAGCAGCAAGGGGGCTGGCACTTCTGTAGTTGACTCCTAAGCTCTCGGTCCAGTTCTCATATCTATGACTAATGCCAACACTACGCATACAAAAGGACGTCACTGTTTGTACACTCTCTTTTAAGAAAAACATTTGTATTTTTGGCCTAAGGTTTTGTTTTCTGGTAGGAATTCTGTAGGCCCTCCTTCCCACCCACCCACTCAGTCTGGGATTCTAACCGAGGGCCTTGCGCTGTTACTTTTTTCTGCAATGATTTGGAATAATGATGTTAATTTAAAACGATGTTAGTATAGAATAATGAGAAAAAACAAAAG